CAATGAGGAGTATTTCCGGTCTCCAGGCTTTCCTCCCAGGAAGGTGGCTGCGTAGCTGCAGTTTGATTATTAGACATTTGGAAGATGAGTCTAAAACATGGATTCTGTTAGGATGTCAATATGGTCATTCGTTATTTTCAATTCCTGTCATCCTCAGTAAGGACATAGGTCTCAGCCAACATCATTTATGAAAACTGTACCAACTTTTCTAGGGCCCCACTTTCCCCCTTACCTCTGTAGCTGTTGTATCTGTTTTTTCAAAATTGCAATGTTTGTTCCGTAAAGCCATGAGTTCTGTTTTAATCACTGTGGTAAACTGAATAATGGTCCCCCAGATGATCCACATCCTAATCCCTGGAGCCTGTGAATATTACCTTACATGGCAAAAGGGACTTCGTATAGATGTGATTAAGTTAAGGATTTTGGGATGGGGGAGATTATCCTGGATTATCCAGGCAGGCCCTAAATGTAATCACAACAGGCCTTATAAGAGGGAGGCAGGGACAACTGTTGGTCTCTACTTGTCCAGAGCAAAAGAGAGAGAAGGACTCAAAGAATCAAAGAAGAAACTAGTCTACAGGACAAATAGTCTATATGAACTGCAGCCTCATCTACCTTGAGACTAGAAGAACTAGATGGTGCCCAGCAACCACCAGAATCCAGAAAAGATGAAGAAAGGGATTCTCCTCTTGGAGCTTCCAAAAGGAACCAGCCCTGCTGACACCTTGACTTTAGCCTAGTCGGACTGATTTCAGACTTCAGACACCCAGGACTGCATGATACAATTTGTGTTGTTTTAAGCTACTAAATTTGTGGTAATTTGTTATACCAGCTACAGGAAATTAGTACACTCCCCCTTTTCCTTTCTGTTCATGAATGATTGGCTAGGCTTGTAAGTTTAGCTGGATTTTTCCTGCCATTTTCTGCTATTTTTGTTTCTGAACAGTGGGCAATGTTCGGGACAAGCCACCTGAAATAATTGTCCTGGAATGATGTTCTGACTTTGGCAATCCTTTGAGTATCTTTTAAAGATTTGCTTAAAAAAAAAAAAAAAAAAGTCTTTCCATGTGGTCAGTGTCCTTGTCTCATTTGTATCATTTGCAGTGATTGATGTTAAGTCCAGTATGCCTTTCTAGGCCACAGGTGGTAGGCAGAACTTTAAGATGGCCCCCAAAATGCCTGCCCGCTAGTGTACAGGAATTGTGTAATCCGCTTCCCTTGGGTATGGGCAGAACTTGTGAATATGATGAGACATCACTCCCATGATTAGGTTACTAATCAGCTGATGCTGAGTTAATCAGAAGGGAGCTTGTGCTGAGTGGGCCTGACCTAATCAGGTGAGTTCTTTAACAGAAGTCGAAGCATCAGAGAGATAGTCTTCTCCTAGCCTTGAAGGAGTAAACTGCCTATGGAGGCGGCCACGTGGCTAGGATCTGAGGGTGCCCTCTAGGAGCTGAGAGTGACCCCCAGCCAACAGCCAGCAAGAAAATGGAGACCTCAGTCCTACACTGTAAGGAACTGAATTCTGCCAACAGCCTGATTGAGCTTGGAAGACGACCTGAGCTCCAGATGAGAGCACTGTGCTGGTCAGCACCTGGGTTGCAACCTGGTGAGATCCTGAACAGAAGACCCAGATGACCCCTACCTGGACTCATGGCCACCAGGAACTGTGCAATCATGCATTTGTGGTGCTTTAAGCTTGTTATGGATTGAATTGTGCCCCCCAAAAAACATGTATCCACTTGGCTTGGCCATGGTTCCCAGTATTGTATGGTTGTCCACCTTTTGTGATCTGATGTGATTATCCTCTCTGTTGTAAATCCTAACCTCTATGATGTCAATGAGGCAGGATTAAAGACAATTATGCTAATGAGGCAGAACTCAATCTGCAGAATTAGGTTGTATCTTGAATCAACCTCTTTTGAGATATAAGAGAGAGAAGCTAGCAGAGAGGAGAGGGAACTTCTACTACCAAGAAGGAAGAGCCGGGAGCAGAGTGTGGCCTTTGGACCCAGGGTCCCTATGCTGAGAAGCTTCTAGACCAGGGGAAGATTGATGACAAGGACCTTCCCCCAGAGCAGAGAGAGAAAGCCTTCCCCTGGAAGTGATGCCCTGAGTTTGGACTTCTAGCCTCCTAGACTGTGACAGAATAAATTTCTGCTTGTTAAAGCCATCCACTTGTGGAATTTCTGTTATTGCAGCACTAGATGACTAAGACAAAGCTGCTGTATATGTGGTCATTTGTTATGCAACAATAGAAAGCAAATACAGTACACTTTACTATTGCTCTTGTTAAGTGATTTTGGGCATCACCAAAGAATAGTCCTAGGGCCGGGATTACGGGTAAGCCACTAATCCTTTTTGGTAAAGGTCTGACTATGGAAGGTTATTGTTGTTGTTAGGTGCCTTCGAGTCAGTTCTGACTCACAGCGACCCTATGTACAGCAGAACGAAATACTGCCCAGTCCTGCGCCCTCCTTACAGCCGTCGCCATGGTTGGAACTGTTGTTGCAGCCACTGTGTCAATCCATTATGTAAGGTTATAATGTGTTATAAATCTCTAGTTCTCCCTGGACTTTTGTAGGTAGGTTCTGAATATTGGGGAACCTCCTTTGCTAGGGTTTTAAGTCTCCCAGTGTCCAGAGAGTGTGCACTACGACTGTGGTGGTGCCGCCCTCACCCCGGCCAGAGAATCCCCTTAAAAAGAGCCAGGATACTTGCAGGACTACAGGTGCTGGACAGATTTGGCCGAAATGGCAGGTGACATTTAAAATTTGAATAGTCTGAACTTGGACCCTGAGTAAACTTGACTGTGATGGTTCTTCCTCCAACCTTGAGTGGTTTCCTGAGAAGCATGTACTGGTCATCTCTGTGCTGATGCAGGAGGGGGACCCTCTGCAGATCTCTGGAGTGGTCTTTCCTTTCTGATGTTGTCCTATGATCTCTAGCTGCCTTCAAAAACCCAAACCCATTGCCGTTGAGTTGATTCCAACTCATGGTGACCTTATAGGACAGAGTAGAACTGCCCCATGGAGTTTCCAAGGAGCGCCTGGTGGATTCAAACTGCCGACCTTTTGGTTAGCAACCATAGCACTTAACCACTGCGCCACCAGGGTTTCCCTAGCTGCCTTAGTTTCCCCAGAAATGCTCAGCTCTATCTCCTGAACGTAAGAGTCCTCTGGGCTCCAGCTGAGGTCCCCTCTCTGCCCTGCAGCTTGGAAACTCTCCAGGCAGGAAGCTGAGCGTAGGAAGGCTCCCTTTGTTGGATTCCCCATCTCTCAGGGACTGCTGTCCTTCAATGCCTGATGTCCAGTGTCTAGAAAGCCATTGTTTCATGTTCGTTGATTGGTACAGACGGGCAGGTAAATCCAGCCCGTTACTCCATTTTGGCTGGAAGTGGAGACAGTCCATCCTTTTTTTTTTAATCCACTATTTTTTTCCAATTGTGGTAAATTATATATATAACACTTGCCATTTCAAAATTCATGTTCATGTACAATTCAGTGACATTGGTTACTGTCATCACATTGTGCAATCGTCACCCTTATCTGTTTCCAAATTTTTCCATCACCCTTAACAGACGCTCCATGCTCCCCTAACTCAACTGTTTTTCTTTTCTTGATACACACATTCTACCAACACTCTCCACCTTCCACTTACTGATGAGTAAGCAAGGACTGAGAGGAAGAGAACGATGGGTAGCCATATCTTTCCCTTTCTTGGCCCTTTTGGGCCCAGGCCTCCCAGCAAATGCCACTTTGTCATCAGACTTTCTCTCTTTGGCCATCAGACGGTCACCTCGATTAGTCGAAGCCACTAAGCCTTAAGTTATGAGCCAGATGATGCAACTTTGCCATAATGCAGTTGTGCAATTTCATCTTTTATTTTATTTGTGTGGTGAAAATATACACAAAACACACACCCAGTCAACAATTTCTACATGTATGATTCAGCAACATAAACGACATTCTTCAGGTGGTGCAGCTATTCTCACTATCCTTTTCCAAATTACTCCACCACCATTAAAATAAACTCAATACTCCCTAAGCAAAGACTCCTCCTTTCCCCTTCCCTCCCACCCATGGCAACTAATAATTTTTGGTTTCTATATATTTGCTTATTTCAGGTAAGTGAGATCATGTAGTGTTTGTTCTTTTCCAAGGTTCATCCGTGTAGTGGTAGGCGTCAGGACTTCAGTTCTCCTCATGGCTGAGTAATATTCCACTGTGTGTGTGTGGAGACCCCGTGTTGTTTATCCGTCATCTGCTGATGGACATTTCAATTGTTTCCACCTTGTGGCTATTGTGAAAAGTGCTGCAGTGAACATTGGTGCACGGGTTTCTGTTTGCGTTCCTCCTTTCACTTCCTCTGGGTACATACCTAGGACTGGGATTGCTGGGTCGTACTGTAGTTCTATGTTCAACTTTTTGAGGAACCCCTAGACTGTTTAACACAGTAGCTGCAGTCTATCAATTTTTATGGCTGCATAGTATTCCACTGTATGGGTATGCCATAAACAAATCAGTCCCCTTTTGATAATCTATTTTTGCAAGCAAACAAAGCGGCACCATCCATTTTTGTACATATACCTTAGCATCCTTTTGTGAGAGTCCATAAAGAAAATTCCCAGCTATGGAATTTCTGGGTCCAAGAGTTTATGCATTTACATTTTTAATATAGGGTTTGCTTGCCCTTCAGAGTACACTTCTATCATCAGCAATGGACCTGTGATGGGGCAGACTTTATATCTGAAACTTCGTAAATGATTTATGTCCTTTATTCATAGACTCAGAGTTAGAGGGGATCACTTGTACTTTGCAGTCAGCCACCACACACACATACCTTTTAAGAAGGAAAGGGCATATTCTGCTGCCATTTGCAAAAGTGCAGGTTCTCAACCATCTGGAGGCCTACTCCTCAAGAATGTCAAGGTCTCTTTATGTCCTGCTTAGCTTTGGGGACCAGAGGTTTTCTCTTCCAAGGGCCCTAAATCATCCTAGTCAGATATCCCAAATTTCCTTCCCTCCACTTTTATGGTTACTGTTTTTGACGTTCAGTTCTTTCTTTCTTTCTTCCTCTTCAACCAGACCTCGGAGACATCAACAGTAACTCCTAAGCGCAAAGTCCACGGTCCCTTGACATCAGCTGATATGAGTCAAAGCGGTGTCTCCACCAAGCATCCGAGCACCGATTCGGCTGGTGGTTTTGTCCCATCTAAGACCTTGTCAGGATCCAGTGGCACAGGATACCCCTCTGACAGGGCTTCTAGCCGGGATCGTAGCAGAATTCCCTCCATGATTGGGTTTCCTGTTAGAGAACAGCACTCAAGGGCCCGTGATGAAGCTGGCATGCTAAGACCCCATCACCCCTCTGTATCTCAGTTCAGAATGGATGTAGATGGTCGCAGGAGTCGAGAGCAGGACAGTTCCTTACACCCAAGAAGGGATGAGCGAGATGCACACCCTGGCCTAGTCCAGCAGGATTCAACCTTGGCCAGAGATCAGCTGGGCTTGGGGTACCCAGAACAGCAGAGCAGGGTGTACTTAAGCCCAGATCAAGTCTATCCAGGGCAGTCTCAGCATGGCTTAGGGCCCCCTGGCATGGATCAATCTAGACTGGTACATCCAAGCACTTCTCCACATGGTGTGGTACCACCCAGCACCGGTCAGCAGGGTGTGGCACCAATGGGCATGGATCAACAGGGACTCATACCTCCTGGTATGGATCAGCATGGTATGGTACCTCCTGGCATAGACCAACATGGTGTGGAAGAGTTTGGCATGGATCAGCAGGGATTTGTACCACTTGGCATTGATCAATATGGATCGGTTATACCTTTTATAGATCAGAGCGGTTTGGTACCACCTGGTTTGATGCAAGCTGGTACAGATCAGCAAGCTTTTGTACAGCCCCATTTGGAAGCACCTGGTTTCATACAACCTAGCACAGAACAGCATGATTTGGTTCAGCCTGGTGCAGACCAGCGTGGCTTCGTCCAGCCTGGCACAGACCAGCGTGTTTTGGTCCAACCTGGCCCAGACCAGCGTGGCTTGGTGCAGCCTGGCACAGACCAGTATGGTGTGGTGCAGCCTGGGGCAGTCCAGCGTGGCTCAGTCCAGCCTCGCACAGACCAACGTGGTTTGATGCAGCCTGGGGCAGACCAGCATGGTTTGGTCCAGCCTGGGGCAGACCAGCATGGTTTGGTCCAGCCTGGGGCAGACCAGCGTGGATTGGTGCAGCCTGGGGCAGACCAGCGTGGCTTGGCACAACCTGGAGTAGATCAGCTTGGTTTGGTGCAACCTGGACTGGATCAGCACGGTTTGGTGCAGCTGGGTGCAGATCAGCGTGGCTTGGTCCAGCCTGGCGCAGGCCAGCGCAGCTTGGTCCAGCCTGGGGCAGGCCAGCGTGGCTTGGCACAACCTGGAGTAGATCAGCTTGGTTTGGTGCAACCTGAAATGGATCAGCACGGTTTGGTGCAGCTGGGCGCAGACCAGC